TATTAAAACAATTTTTTAAAAAATTATTCAGATTTTGGGACGATAAGCGTTGGTTTATCTAAACACGGAAATAGACGCACTGTTCCACTCACGTATTAATAATGTAAACGATTTTTATTATTCATGATCATACAACAGCAAATGATTTATTTGGCGATATTTAACGTTTTGCGACGATATAGCACGTTGTATAATAATTTAGTAGTAATGTTTAACTTTTGACTTTTGAATTTGATGCCATTCATTATCAATCTTTGAACAAATTTACGATGTTTTCATATGTGATCGAGTTTTGTTCCTGTGACATAAGCTTATTTCCTCGCTTACGTTCATTCGAGGATAATCAGGACCTTCAAGTAAACTATTATTGGACTGCAACTAAACCCAACGTGGCAGTTGACAATAACTTTCATGCCCAATTTCACAATAATTCATTGAACAAATACCTGCTGCAAATAAGGTAAAGAGGCAGTTGACAAATACTTTCCTTGCCCAATTTCACAATAATTCATTGAACAAACACCTGCTGCAAATAAGGTAAAGAGGCAGTTGACAAATACTTTCCTTGACCAATTTCACAATAATTCATTGAACAAATACCTGCTAAAAATAAGGTAAAGAGGCAGTTGTCAAATACTTTCATGACCAATTTCACTATAATTCATTGAACAAACACCTGCTGTAAATAAGGTAAAGAGTTCAATAGCTACCGCTTATTAGTCAGGACCTTCAAGTAAACTAAACTATTAACGGACTACAACTAACTCACGTGGCAGTTGTCAAATACTTTCATGACTAATTTCACTATAATTCATTGAACAAATACCTGCTGCAAATAAGGTAAAGAGTTAAATAGCTACCGCTTATTAGTCAGGATCTTCAAGTAAACTAAACTATTAACTGACTACAACTAACTCACGTGGCAGTTGTCAAATACTTTCATGCCCAATTTCACAATAATTCATTGAACAAATACCTGCTGCAAATAAGGTAAAGAGGCAGTTGTCATATACTTTCATGCCCAATTTCACTATAATGTATTGAACAAACACCTGCTGCAAATAAGGTAAAGAGGCAGTTGTCAAATACTTTCATGACAAATTTCACAATAATTCATTGAACAAACACCTGCTGCAAATAAGGTAAAGAGGCAGTTGTCAAATACTTTCATGACAAATTTCACTATAATTCATTGAACAAACACCTGCTGCAAATGAGGTAAAGAGGCAGTTGTCAAATACTTTCATGACAAATTTCACTACAATTCATTGAACAAACACCTGCTGCAAATGAGGTAAAGAGTTCAATAGCTACCGCTTATTAGTCAGGACCTTCAAGTAAACTAAACTAATAACGGACTACAACTAAACCCAACGTGGCAGTTGACAATATCTTTCATGACCAATTTCACAATAATGTATTGAACAAACACCTGCTGCAAATAAGGTAAAGAGTTAAATAGCTACCGCTTATTATTCAGGACCTTAAAGTAAACTATTAACGGACTACGACTAAACCCAACGTGGCAGTTGACAAATACTTTCATGACCAATTTCACTATAATTCATTGAACAAACACCTGCTGAAAAATAAGGTAAAGAGGCAGTTGTCAAATACTTTCATGACAAATTTCACTATAATTCATTGAACAAACACCTGCTGCAAATAAGGTAAAGAGGCAGATTTCAAAACTTTAAAAAAAATTTAAGAGATCGTAAGTTCATCCGCCAATCATTGACGGCCTTTCAAGCCAAATCCACCAACCATAGACAAGAAAATAGAGCGTAAGTACTTACGTTCACTGAGTGAGTTTTGAAAGTATGGCCCCGGGTGTGAAACCTTGCTGCTGTGTTCTTGTGTGATGTATTTCGTCTTTTGTGTTTCGTTTTTATTATTATATATCTTGTAATAGGTCGTAGTGTTTCGTCTAAGAATCAGTTTGCCAACTGTGGTATTTATTTTTTTCTAGATTAGTTAGTGTCGTAATTGAAATTGCGCATATAATTTCGTTACTCTTTCTTAGATTTCATATCGCAGTCTACCTTCTACGCGTGTGTTTCCATGATTTTCCTCGTAAATTTAATTAGAGCCCTCGATCCCACACCTTACTTAATTAGAGCCCTCGATCCCACAACCTTAATTAGAGCTCTCGAACTCCCAACCTTACTTAATTAGAGCCCTCGATCCCTCAACCTTACTTAATTAGAGCCCTCGAACTCCCAACCTTACTTAATTAGAGCCCTCGATCCCACAACCTTACTTAATTAGAGCCCTCGATCCCTCAACCTTACTTAATTAGAGCCCTCGATCCCACAGCCTTATACTCTACTTAAACCAGGAACATCAGCAACCAACACCGCACACGCTGCAGCCATCAGCTAAAATTATAACCTGGAGACATTGAAATCTGAACAATGGACTGTGCGCTGCGCATGCCCGCATTTATTTAAAATGAGTCAATTAAATAGTGAACACATATTGCAGCTCCGTGTGTCCCTCCCTCAATTTCCTGCTACCCTGGAGGGGAATGCCTGCCCCCCTCCCTCGTGTGTGATGGTATCTTCCACTGCTCCGACTACAGTGATGAATCTTACAGTCTTTGTAGTCGTGAGTCTGGCAGCGCGTTCACATTGTCGGCAGCGCCTTCCCTAACAAAATTTAGAGTCGCCCCGGCTTCTGGTAATCCGAATCAGAAGCTGCCGCGTCTGTATATTTTCACTGGGAAGAACTCCTTCCCTAACAAAATTTAGAGTCGCCCGAGCTTTTGGTAATCCAAATCAGAAGCTGCCGCGACTGTAAATTTTCACTGGGAAGAACTCCTACCCTAACGAAATTTAGAGTCGCCCCAGCTTCTGGTAATCCAAATCAGAAGCTGCCGCGACTGTATATTTTCACTGGGTTCTTCGTTGTCTAATTTTACACATTTGCTGCCCACCAAGTAATTACATGTTCTAATACCGCGCTACATTTGTCTATGTTTTACTTATTGACACTTTAAGTAAGTGATATTATTTCCGCTTTATTGAATGATTCGCTCGTTTGGTGTTCTAATTCCATGTCTGTTCCGTCATTCATATTCGTATTTGCCTTCTTCGTTACGTGAAAATAATCAGCCTCTCTGGTAATGACTTCATTCGAAGCCGCTCGACAATACCTGACTTGTTCAAGTTTTACACAACATTATCCCTGCTCCTGTGATCGAAAATTCTTCGTAACGACTCCAGGAAGAGCAAATAAGTCGCCAAAAATGATCGCATGCTTCCATCCAATGATTTTCTGATGTCTGATAAACGAGGTTAAAACTGAAGTGTTATTAAGTGTTGTTAATGCTTCAAATTAGTGAAATGTTAATGCTTCAAATACAAGTGTTAATGCTTCAAATTAGTGAAAAAAAAATATTTGTGTTGACTTGGCGCTGTTTATAATTTTTATTTTTCAATGTGGACTTTCATTTTGATTTTTTTGTTGTTTTCATAACGAAATGCATTTCTTTGTTTTGTGTTCTCGCATAACCTTCATAGCGCTGATGAACTGACAGATAATATTTATTTCCAATACCTAGCTTGAAGTGATCATCACGATCATCCTAATGATCGTGATGTATTCCGCAATTTAAATACGTGTATATCCGTACTTTCTACAATTGTTAATGAAATTGATTAATTTAGAATAATTTGTGTAACTGGTTATTTTATTATGAATACTATTACTGTTTAATTTATAACGATTACTGTGACTACATTGCTTAAGTCGCAAGTTTACCAGGAACTTAAAAGCAAAGAAAACAGCCAGAATATTAACCATTTCTTAAGAATGAAAACGTTTCGGAGTCCAGCTCCATCGTCAGTTCAAAAGTTCAAAACCTATAAGAAAATAAGAATCAATTAGAAAAGTAAATTCACATCGAAGATAAAAACGTAAATTGACAAAATAAAAACAAATACACATAAGGAGACAGGCCTATCTATTTACAATTTCAAGGGGATAGGGGCTGAAGGCTGCATTTAAACCAGGTTTCTGTTTAAAAATGTACAGGGATTCTAAAATCCGTAGATCGGAGCTGGACTCCGAAACGTTTTCATTCTTAAGAAATGGTTAATATTCTGGCTGTTTTCTTTGCTTTTAAGTTCCTGGTTACTGTGACTAATAATTTAGGGCAATTCATGTGGTTAATTAATGTTTAATGATCAATGTGACTGACTAATCTGTAGCTTGGTAGCGGAAATTCTTCTCGTTCACGCGCACGCTGATGTACGTGATTTGACCTCATAATTAATGATGTTCTTCATTAGTGATATATATCATTTAACTAGAACTTTATTTACTATTGATCTCTTGTGTTCTAACCACGCACAAACTTAAGGCCATTTCTTGACCTGAATTCATTGCTTTACGTGTTTGAATGATTCTAGACTGGCATGGCTTCATTTGTCGTCACTGAATTACTAGTTCAATCTTCCGCAATTTTTAGAAAGTAATTTTAAGTTTTTTTGTATATTTGATATTTTTGTTGAGCTATTAGAAGGCTAATATTTTTGATGTGTAAACGCACATCATGAAATACATGCATTCAAATCTGTTAAGATATTCTCCCTTTGCTTACTACAGCTCCTTTTAATGAGTTAGAAAAATGACCGTTAACGGTATTACCGGCGTTTCAGTGGAATGGTCGGCACGTGAAAAGAAACACCGTTTCACCGTTTTTATTCCAATTTAACAACAGAAATCCGTAAAACATCTGATAAAAACGGCGAAACAGTTTATTTTCACGGGTCGACCGGCCACTAGAATGCCAGTGGGACCGTTTTTTTCACTGTTTTTAGCACATTTTCTCATTTATTGAATAAATGCACTATTGTGCTCGCCATGTCCGTCTGTCTGTCTGTCCGTCTGTCCGTGACCTCAAGTTTTCGTCGACGAGAAAATGCGCTCTCTGTCACTCACTGCTGTGAGTACTGAGTTATATTTTTCTAATAGTGCGTACGTGTCCACCATACCAGGATGCTCTAGCGACGAGTTTAAGTGCAGCAGCGACGGGGTGTGTATACAAGACTACTACAAGTGTGATGGCAAGCCAGAGTGTCTCGACAGCTCCGACGAGGCTCCCAGCGTTTGTGGTGAGATATTGGATCTGAATTTTATCGTAGCAAAGCCAGTATAAAAGAAAGTCAAATAGCTTAAAGAACGTTTTTAAAAGTACAATAGCTTAGAGAACGTTTTTTTTTAAATATCTGAGAACGGAATAAACTTTTTATTATTAGTTTATATGTTTATTATTAACTTTTAACTTTGAAGCCTAAACTTTATCGTATCAAAAGCAGTTTAATGTGCGACGAATTCGTCACACCAGGGCTTAAAGGGTTAAAGGAAAGTCAAATCGCTTTAAGAACGTTTTTAAAAGTCAAATAGCTTAAAGAACTTTTTTTTTAATTTACTAAGAACAGAATAAACTTTTTATTTATAGTTTTAGTTACTTGGAACAGAATAAACTTTTTATTTATAGTTGATATGAATATTATAACATTTTAATTAATTTTATCTTTAAATCCTGAACATTATCGTAGCAAAGCCAGTATAAAGGAAAGTCAAATTGCGCAAAGAACGTTTAGAACAGAATTAACATTCATTATTAGTTGATATGTACATATATTATTACATTTTAGTTAACTGGTAACTCTAAAGCCTAAACTTTTTCGTAGCAAAGGCAGTATATAATGGAAATTATAATAGCTAAAAGAACGTTTTTTTAATTACTGAGAATATTTAAATTTTTTATTATATGTAATTTTAATATTATTAGTTAATATTTATATTATTAACTTTTAACTTTAAAGCCTAAACTTTATCGTAGCAAAGGCAGTTTAAAGGAAAGTAAAATTGCTTAAAAAATGTTTAGAACAGAATTAACATTTATTATAAGTTGCTATGTATATTATTAACTTTTAATTAACTTTAGAGCCTAAACTTTATCGTAGCAAAGGTAGTATAAAAGAAATTCAAACTACTTAAAGAACATTTTTTTTAATTCGCTGAGAACAGTATAAACTTTTTATTATTAGTTGATATGTATATTATTAACTTTTAATTAATTTTTATCAATAAAACCTAAATTATCGTAGCAAAGGCAGTATAAAGGAAATTCAAATAGCTTAAAGAAAGTTTTTTTTTAATTCTCTTAGAACAGAATAAACTTTTTATTAATAACTCATATGCATATTATTAAGTTTTAATTTGTAATTTTCATTCTATAAATTTTTGGTTCACTGGTAGTAGTTTGTTAGCCTTTAGCTTTTATATTTTAATATTGCAAATTTTAGGTTCACTAGTAATAGTTTTGTTAGCTTGCAAATAGTAATTTATCGTATGTTGACACTAGGCGGTTGTCTACCTGGTCAACACACGTGCACGGCTGACGACACGTGTCTGCCGTCGTGGAACACGTGTGATGGAACACCTCAGTGTTCAGACGGCTCCGACGAGAAGCTCAGAGAGTGTGAGTTTTAAATTTGTTTTAAATTTAAATTAGATTTAACAGATAATACAGTGTATAATAAATAAACACAGTATAATATAACACACAGTATAATAAAATTTTATTGTGATGTATTTTCGCTGCTGTATTTGGAATATTTGAACAGCCGCTATGAATTTAGTACGTTATTTTAGCTTTGTTGCCATTTCGAAGTTACCATGTGAGTTCAATTTAACACATAAACATAATGAATAATATACACATAACACATAAACATTCATTAGTATAATAAAATTTTATCTAGATTTATTTTCGCTATTGAGTTCAATTTAACACATAAACATAATGAATCATTATTATAATAAAATTTTATCTAGATGTATTTTCGCTATTGAGTTCAATTTAACACATAAACATAATGAATCATTAGTATAATAAAATTTTATTGTGATGTATGTTCGCTATTGAGTTCAATTTAACACATAAACATAATGAATCATTCGTATAATGAAATTTTATTGTAACGTATTTTCGCTGCTGTATTTGGAATAGTTAAAATAAACATAATGAATCATTAGTGTAATAAAATTTTATTGTGATGTATTTGCGCTGCTGTATTTAAACATCACAAATTATTGTGATGTATTTAAATGCTGCTGTATATAAAACAGCAGCGATGAATTTAGTAAATTACTTTATCTTTGTTGCCATTCTGAAGTTCCTTAAAAGTTCTGTCATTCTTTGCTTAGGATAGACTTAAGAATTTTAATTTTACTTCATATAATAATTTTTCTGGAGTTAGCTTCTTTTTCAGGAGAGAGGAGCTTTTCACACATAATTATTGGTTTTCTTGAAATTTGTAACTATCAACTTATTACCAATTTACGAATGACATTTGTTATTAACTTGAATTTATGCAGTGAATTTCTGACTTCAATTGATATATGCTATGTGTCCGCGCATAATAGTGTATGTAAATCCATATAAATGCACAAAAAATTTTCAGTGAGTGTGTTACTCGCGTAGGAATCGTTACAAGGTCGACGGAAGTTTAATATTTACATGCATTTTCAATTTATTCCTGTTATATTTCTTACATCAGAGAGGTATAAGAACCTATGTCATATGCAACGTTAAAGGGGAGCATGATTATCTACATGACAATGTTATTATTTCGTTAAAGTGATAACACATTTGCAAATTATTGTTAAATTTCCTTGTCTGTTGAGTTATTATACTCGGAGAAAAAATACCCAAGTGCTCATACAGGTTGGGACTGTCTTACTACATTTCTTTATCAGTCATTTTGCATGTCGGGATAAATACGTCTAGTGTAGTTGTTTCATTGGTTGTTCATTGACTGCCTGGCTGTCAAATTTTGCACGCTCTCTTGCCTATGAAAATGTTTAGTTGTCTAGCATCAGTCATTAGTTAGCAGCCTGGGCCTATACTTTCAGAGAAAGGTAAAAGATCGTAAGTTCATCAGCCAATCATTGACGGCCTTTCAAGCAAAATCCACCAATCATAGGCAAGAAAATAGAGCGTAAGTACTTACGTTCACTTAGCGAGTTTTGAAAGTGTGGCCCCTGGTCATCTGCAAGGTAAATCAATGTTCTTCATGTTGAGGTCTCAAGACGATATTTTCGAATAATAGTCAAGCTTTGGCTCGGCTCGAACTCTCTGGTCATCGGCAAAGAAGCTAACGAACATTGAGTGCCTATATGTGCTAATGTATGAATGTGCGAATGTATCTGCTGGTTGTTGAAAGATTAAAAAGCCTAGCTTAAAGTTATCTACAAAATCTTGTGGATTGACAATTAGAAGTATTATGTTAAATAAAATTAAAAAACCTAACTTGTTGTTATCTACAAAATATTCTGGACTACAAATTCAAAATATTTCCGTGAAATAAAATTATAATTGATTTATATACGCTTGTCATTTATGCGAGTTGAAACCGAGAGAGGAATGAGATGCATGATCGATGCTTCTCTGTAACACTTTTAACGAAAGATATTGTTACATCCGAATAACTGAAAGTGATAACGCTTGATATTTTCATCTGAAGCCTCACATCTTTTCTATTCCATAATGAGCAAATAGGGAAGATTGTTTATATCTACTATTAAATTTTACGACGGCTTAAATTTCAAAGCTGCTAATTTTATGTTGGACTCTCTATTAGCTATTAGTTGATTTAGTTCTAATATTAGAAACTTGAAAATTCTAGCCTATTTCAAATTTCTAGCCAAGTAAATGGCATTTACTACAGTTAATTAAAAATTTATAAACTCTATAGCATAATTTACTACCACTAGATAAACACTGTGATCAACTACGGCATAATTTACTAACACAAGATTAAGCACTGTGATTTACTACAGCATAATTTACTGCCATTAGATAAACACTGTGATTTACTACAGCATAATTTACTACCACTAGGCACTAGATAAACACTGATTTACTACGGCTTAATTTACTACCACTAGGCACTTGATAAACACTGATTTACTACAGCATAATTTACTACCACTAGATTAAACACTGATTTACTACAGCATAATTTACTACCACTAGATAAACACTGATTTACCACCACTAGATAAACACTGTGATTTACTACCACTAGATAAACACTGTGATTTACTACCACTAGATAAACACTGTGATCTACTACGGCATAATTACCACTAGATAAACACTGTCTCTTATACACATCTAGATGTGTATAAGAGACAGCAGCTATTCCATCTGGTCCNTTTTTATTAAAAGTCTCAATCTTTTTATTAAAAGTCTCAATCTTTTTATTAAAAGTCTCAATCTTTTTATTAAAAGTCTCAATCTTTCTATTAAAAGTCTCAATCTTTTTATTGAAAGTCTCAGAATTTTTAATGTTATAGATTTTCTCAAATTCGTTTATTAAAAGTTTTAGAATGTTTAATCTTATAGATTTTATCAAATTCGGTGGGTAACCTTACAAGTTTGTTTAATGTTACATTTGTAGCATTTTACTTCTCCCTCTAATCAAGCAGTAAGAAATTTGTTAAGTTTTTGCAGCGTATTTCGACAATAATCTGTTGCTGTGATGTTTGACTGGATTTTTTTTTCATCGGTCGAGAATATTCCTTAGTATTTTCGATATCTTTCTGCATTCGACAACGGGAGTTTTGGGTAATAAAAATCTTGACGTGGTAAGACAGCACAATTCGTTGCGAGAGATTAAACCTTTCGCGCACGTTCAATGCCATACGGACGGTGAATAACAGGTCGTTATTGAAATACGGGTGCCGGTTGTAATACGGGGGCCGGTTGTAATGCAGGTGTCAATAATAAGATGATTACCTGTAATAATACGATTGTATTATCCTTGTACTACGGGTACAAGGAGTAATGAGGGAGTAGGGAGTAATTACTAATTACTCCCTCATTAGTAATTACTCCCTCATTACTCCCTCATTGAGGGAGTAATGAAGGTGTCGGCAGTAATTCGGTAGGCTGCTAAGATACGGGTGTGAATAGTTGTACGGTCGTCAGTATGTAACGCGGTTGCTTAAACTGATACAGCAATACGAGAATCTGAAAGAATACGTGTTTTTATTAAGTGCTCCTGCAACAAAAAGAACGCCTGCTTAATTGTGACTTGCGCGCGTACAGTAATTGAGCATGATTTACTACCACTGAATTGCTGACTACAATTGATACGGCACCTACAGTAGGACCGGTGCCTATAGTGATATGGGTACATGCAAATACGGAACGTTATTAATCTGGCAACGTTTAACAAGTTCGATTGAAGATGAGGATGAATTTTATTAAAAAATTTCCAATTCATTTTTTTTCAATGTGTTGGATGTAGAAGAATTGATTGTAAAAATGAGTAAAGGATCAAAAGTTAAAATTTAATTTTGCAATTTGCAAAGCTAAACTAATATTAAACATCACAAAAATATTGTTTTGCCATATTTTGTAACAAGAGTAAACAGTGAGTCGTATCTTGTGGAAAAAGTGCGCCCACATTTAATTAGAATACATGAGCTTTTTTTATTAAAGCGATATTGCGTGTATGACAGGGTTAGGATTCTAAAAGTGCAGAATCCCCAAACCGGTGCCACGCGGGGCCAACTGGCTAGTTAATACTAACCGATTAATAAAGTAATGTAAGTGCCAGCAGTGATGTGGCAGTCTTCAGTAATGCTCTGCCTACTAAAAACGTACGGCGGTAGAATAGGCTCGCTTTTGGAACTTAATACGCGCAACCAATTTCAATATGCGTGTTTCTTGACGCGTTTAGAAACAGCTTTTCGAATTGACGAATGAGCGAGCAATAATATCTGATGTGTCTGTACTATTTTGTACTATCAATTATTTACATCATTTAAAATTAATAAACAATGAAAATGAATACGTCCATCGAATCCCTATGTAATTTTTCTGTCCTTTCTTACATATTGCCATTAGTTAAGCACTTGAGATGAAACGAATGCACGCATTTTGAAACGCACTTCAATTTCAAGTTATCGGCATCGACAGTACGAACAATTTCTTTTAATAATCCTTTTGCATATTATTTGACTCTGACTTCATTAGCGGCTTTAGATTCTGCCGCCGATAATGCACTACTCGTGGCAGACGAATGAAGTCAAAGTCACAGTCTAATATGAATGTGATGATGCGATAGGGAATGCGGACCAACCGGCCCTTTTAGATGGTCCATTTAATAAGACCCCATCAATAGTCTAAGGAAAAAAGGTCTAGATTACAATTTTCCAGCAAATGAAGTAAATCCTTAAAACCAAAGGAGTTTACGAGAACAGATCAATATTTTTAGAAATAGATCAACAATCTCATTATTTCTAGAAATAGATCAACAATCTCATTATTTCTAGAAATAGATCAACAATCTCATTATTTCTAGAAATAGATCAACAATCTCATTATTTCTAGAAAAAGATCAACAATCTCATTATTTCTAGAAATGAATCAACAATCTCATGAATCCAGATGCGCGTATGGGATGTTATCCAATTAA